ACAAACACATGCTATATATAAATACTAGCAAACAACGCTGTGTACAAACAATAATACACAAAACCTGTGTTTCATTTTCAGCAACAGCCTGTATATAGACGTAGTGTTTACAATACCCGAGTTTACTAGTGTGCGTGCTCGCCATAGTAACGTTTTACGAGTTATTTTAACTCGTTAACTGAGTTTACTGAATTTCATACAAAGTGCCTTTTAATTTCATTATTACGAACAAACTAAGTAGGTATTATTATTTAACGATTTTTTTCTATTTTTAAGGGAATGGGTATTATTGTAATAATGAAATTATTATTATTTTGTGTTTATAGCTTTAGTGCTGGTATATTTTCAAATGGTCGGTATTTTTTTATGGATCAGATGGCAGACGGATTGCCTGATGGTAAGCGATTAGTACCGACCAAAGACTCATGGACACCAGAAGAATGATAACCACGTCAATGGGCTTTTTAGAAGGAGTACTTTTTTCATAATTGATTTTGACTAATTATTGTTTGGTAGTACTAGATTTGGAATGAAGTCTGCTGTGTACTGTTCTGGTCGACTAGCCTAGTATTAGTAGCAAACAGAATTTCAAGTTATCAGCCTTCTGAGTATATCTAGATAAAATTTGTACTATGAAAACCTCTTGTCTAGCCTTCAGTATACAAATTTAGGTTAGGTATATGCTTTTCCCTTCACAGATGGAGCCTATTCGAGCTGGTGTGTGCAAGCACAACGATGTACTACCCTACTTGGAGTTGAAGGAGGAACAGGATGGCTTTTAGTCAGTAAGAATCTGACACTCCCCCCACTTAAGGCGGGATAAGCCGGTTGATAAAATTTTCCCCCTCAAAAAAGGTACTCAATAAGGCCTTTCAGTGTAAAAACGATATTTGTTTTCCAAGAAATAAAATTTTTCATGAAAGCCTAACAGTTTTCAGGCTGAAATACCGCCGAACTATAATCCTAGATTCCGGGTCCGATAAGAAAAACTGTAAATGTAACTGCCGTAGGACATTAGGCCGACTTTGTGAAAATTTTAAGTATCCAATATAAGTGTGCTTACCTTTAGATTCATATCTACGTAATTATAATAGGAATAGTATAACGATTCTTATATAAGTTTATGTCTGTATGTTTGTGTATTAAGTCGTCATCAGAATATTGTGTCTTAAAAATGGAATGAATAGTGAGCGAGATCGCTGCTATTCAATAGAAGCGATCTCGCTTCGATCACACGTTCTGTTTTTAAAATCGTAAACTGAATTATCTTGTTTATCGAAAGCCAGGATTATATGTTAAATGTTCCAGAATTTCCTTTTCACTTTTTATTGAAATGCTAAGTCATTTTAAATCGCTATCAAACTATAAATAAATTCAATTTATATTTAATATATAGTCGGGTTTGTTTCTAATAACAACGTAAAACAGTTGGTCGTGTTCACAAATCAAAAGCTACACTATGCATACTTCTTGTTACCCACACCAACCTCGATCGCCCACGTCATATACTAAAAATAAGGAAACAGCTTTTTCTTAACAAAAAACATCGTAACAAAAATTGCACTACGAACGAATATATTTAGGGTAAAACTACATTTTCCTGGCCAACCTTTATCCTGGCACATGATTGATTAGCTCGCTTATCGGACATCATTGTTTTTCATAAACCACTCCACTCCGTAGGAAAAAAAAGCTAATTTGTCACATCGAGTGCTATGGTTAAAGTACCATAATTGATTTCGAAATACTAAAGTCGTGATAAGAAATTAATTTGTGTTGGAACTTAATAAATGTTGTGACTCTAATTTTCTTTAAGACGCTTATGGTAATTACTGTTGAGTATATGTGCATTTACCTTATAGTTACTTAATGATTTTTGCAAGTTATTTGTGCCTTTTTTGCTAAGGATTTGTTGTACATTTTTATTAAATAACTAGCTATTCTCCCGCGATTTCACCCGCTGCTCGGCTCCATTTAATCGTAGCGTGATGTTTTATAGCCTATACCCAGGAACATTGTAGCTAATAGAAATATCTATTAGTGAAAGAATTTTGGCAATCCGACCAGCGGTTCCAAAGATTACCCCCTACATACAAACTTACAAACATACCAGTTTTACCTCTTTATAATATTAGTATAGATTTAATGGTAATCTTTGATTTTGATGTCACTGTTATTTTATATTTTTTGAGGGTGAAATATCATCAAACTTTTTTCTTCCCCAGGTTGAGGCGAGAAGGAGTGCCAGACTAATAATAATCACCCAGTTCTTTCTTCTGCTACAGGCCGAGGCCTCGGTACCTTAGATTGCGCTTTCCTCGCAACCATGGGAATATCTTTTATTTATTAATTTATATACTAATATTGATAAGTTTATATGAATTTAAAATTTCCTTACACAGATCGATAAAATAAAGTCTGAGGTGCTCGGAGACTTTTAGGCCGCTTTCTATGTATGAAGGTTCGTTACCTGGTGAGTACCAATGCGACTTCTTCTGAGTTATATGCATGTGCAGTGAAGAAAAAAACATCTACAGTAAACCTAGGCTGTTTGAAATGGCTAATCCGCTTTAAACAAGCGTGGTGAATAATAATAATTTATTCTATCTGTAAAGGCCTTTTCTCTGCAGCGATACTGCCAAAGGCTGATGATGATGATGTTGATGACGATGATGATTGAGCGGTAGTTGCCAACTATAAACGTTGCCTTATATAAGGATTTTCTCCTGTATCATCGGTGCGTTTACAAATATACAAGCTGCCCAGACCCGATGCAGTTTGTGGATCACACAGTGTTCTTCCGTGTGGAAATCGGACCCGCGACTCATTTCATAGCAGTCATGGCGCCAACCATGCAGTCGATATATGTAAATCCTTTGTTTCGCTTTAATATTGAGTCAACATTATTTTTATACATACAAATGTATGTATAAAATAATAGTTTAGTAGCTAGACTAGAACTATTCAAACTATGAATATAAAAACAGATAAGTTTCGAAGACAAAGAAAAGGTCGCCGGTCACAATGTAAATTATTTGTCAGTTCAGACTATAACTTTTAGTCATGACGTCACTAAGTTTGCATAGTTACGTCATTGTCTATTATTGCTTACTGGGAACTTAATTGAATAAAATTGTACTTATGTCAATTTGTATGTGTAATAGTTTTGTTAAAAAAAACATATCCTGCTATTATGATGTTATGTTTTTTTTAAACTTGGATGCCCCACCCTTGGATTTTCTCCTGTGTCGTGGGTGCGTTTACAAACATACAATTTAACATGCACACGACACCCAGACCCGGAACAACAATTTGTGGATCCCACAAAGAGTTGTTCCGTGCGGGAATCGAACTCGCGACACGTTGCACGCCAGCCAGTTGCCCAGCCACCGCGCCAACCATGCAGTCAAATATTGATATAGTTTCAGGTTTAAATTCAATAGTTTCAAGTCAACATGGAAACCTCTTCTTGTTTACATGCCAAACCCGTTTATAAAATTACTATAAGTAGTTTAGACTAGTTTTCACAGCAAAAGGTCTCATTTATTTTCTTCTGACTGAAGAATTGAAGCGAAGTCCTCATTCTTGACCGTAGTTATTCCATCTACCCGACAATAGTAGATCCAGTGAAACAAAATAAAGAACCCAATATTGTGTTTAAACAGAACTAAAGGTTTTTAGCTCGCTTTTATCAGATCAATTAGTTAGTCGTTAGGCCAGCCAACCTTCAACTCAATGCACGCCAAATTAGATTTTAATTCATTTCTTATAAAGGCTAATTTGCTTTATGAGCTTTATATAATGTGATGATGGTAAATGTTTACTAAGGAAAAAACTTGAAAAGAAAGAAAATTTAATGAATTTAAAAGGAAAATGGTTAGCGATTTGAATAATATTATAATGTAGGTATTGCCAAGAACTTGTTTTGATATGAATTAATAGTGAAATATGCAAAGTAAGTTATTTATTCGTTAAGTTGATTTACAAAGAGCTTTATCGATCGACAAAGCATGAGGCAGTGGTTACACGGAGCTCTAGACGGATGTATCTGTTGCAGCCAAATCCAAACTAATATTATGAATGCGAAAGTAACTCTGTCTGTCTGTCTTTTCTTTACGCCTAAACTATTGAACCGATTTCTGTGAAATTGTTTGGTACAGACATAGTTTAGAACTCGAGAAAGGTTAAAGGATTTTATACCAAAAATCTGCAAGAAGTCACTACTCCATCCAACCAATACAACGGCCTGAATGCGTAGTGGTTTAATTGAATAGCTAATTTTTTTCAGTTTTAAGTTGAAGAGTAAAGGGGTTGTCATGATATGAGTCGCTATCAGAATGCTGGGTAGTCTAAGAGACAGAGAACTTGTAGAAATCAAAGCCAATCAATGTTACAAAACATGTTCAAATTTTATTGATATGAATGGATGTAGTTGGTATAATATGTAGATTTCAAAGAGAATTCTTAAGTTTAATTTGACAAATAAAACTTCATTAAACATCTTCATCAATAAACAATGTACATATTTCTGTCAAATAAACACTTTTAAATTTGAATTAAAAAAATAAAAACGAATAATAATTTTACATTCCATGCCCAAAGAACAAATCCCAACTAAAAACAAACAAAATTTAAACGAAGAACAAACTTTAATAAACCAGAAAACGAAACTAAATCCCATAGTCTAATCTAAATCCAGAATAAACGTGTCCACTTCTCGATAAATTCCTGCCTGGATTTTTGCCTAGAACACTAATCCTTATGAACGGACCACACTTTTGCGTCAACTAATGAACTAAAGGCAGACAATGCTGTTAATGCTACCAGCAGGTCTACCTATCTGTTAATTTATTTGATTTAAAACTTTATTTATATTTGTATAAAGTCGAAAATTTAATAAAAACAATTGAAAGAATGGTATAGGTTGATTTGCGAGCTGAGTGTTATTATCATCATTAAGCCTATTATAAGCGCCCACTTTTGAACAAAAAGGTCTTTTTTCACACGGATAAGGTTTGAGCATTAATCACCACGCTAGGCTCAGGGTTCTGTGTGAGGGGAAAATCATCAAATGACTTCTCGTGATGTATTCCTTTAACGTTGATCAGTTGTCTTATTAATTTTACAAATTACATTTAAGTCGGAAAAGCTCATATTGGTACTTACTAGGTTTCTAACCCGCATCCTTCAGTAAGAAAAGCGGGGTATCTTAACTTCTAGGCCACCACGACATGACTACAGTGACATTGAAACCACAAAATAGTCGCCAATACTCGTCAGTGAAGCTAGGTGCTCGTTCCAAATTGTAGATTCGAATGGGGAAGAACGAGCAAGAAACTCCACTAACTGACTGTCCAAATAAAGGAAGGCTGACATTTGTAATAAATGCAGACTGGAATTAAAGTGGAAAGCTTGTTACGTTATTGTATACTTATTCTTTCCAATTTTGATTAAGTAAAAATTGAGTTTGATTAACAAAAACTATTATAGAAAGTCTGTAATTTCCCAGAGGTAAAAGTTAGTGCAATTTGTTAGTAACGAGAGACAATATGAAAGTAGTAGCAGTATCTACTTTATTTAATATTTTACTAGCTATTTTGCCGTAGAAAATATAGTGTAACTATGGGTGTTCTCTATAAGTATTTTTGTAATTTCGACATTCAAAAGTTTCAGTGTAAATAAACATAGGTATATGAGATACTAGCTTCACCCGCTGCTCAGCTCCATTTAGTCGTAGCGTAATGTTTTATAGCCTATAGCACTCAGGAACATTGTAGCTACCTACCAGTGAAATAATTTTGGATATCCGACCAGCGGTTCCAAAGATTACCCCCTACATACAAACTAACAAACTTACAATTTTTACCTCTTTATAATATTTAGTATTAGTACATTAGTATTAGTATTAGTATAGATGAGAATTTTCTACATCATCATCATTAGCAGCTTATAAGTACCCACAACTCAGAAATGGCCTCTTCTCAGACGGAGAAGGATTAAACTACTATACAAATAAACGATTTTTGTGTCATTATCATTACCCTCAATCTTTCTTTCTTCTTCATCCAACTCAAACCCCACAATTCTCAAGCCATCGGTATTAGCAGTTGATTGGCGCTGCTTTCTTTCCATCAGATAATCCATCTGCTCGTTTGCCATCAACATACAAGGAAAATTATCTTCAAAAAGTAAAAATTTGCAAATAACATCTCTTTTATAAAAAAACAAAAAAAAACTGTTAAAAAAATAAAACAATCGACCCAAAAGAAAAACTAAAAATCAAAATCAACATTTCAACCTGCCGCTACACTACATTTTACCCATAAATCGAAATATTCCCCTAAACACAAATCCCAGAGACTTTTTTATTTAATGGCGGCTTTTATGGAAGGTATGGGAGCGATTTCCCATCAATAAACTAGAGGTAACGGTGTTAAATTAGCATTGGATCGATACTTCTTCCGGATCGTAGCCGCCGTAGCAGGCACGGCAGAGCACTGTTTACTTTGAACAAAAATATATTATATATTTGTGAAGAGTTTTGTTTGTGTGTGTACTTTGTTTAGGTATTGAATGAAATTGAATTATGTTAGGTAAATTGGAAGGGATGTTATTAAATCTTCGAGAGTCTTGTTTGTACCACGCAACGTCATCAAATCAAATAAAATCAAAATCATTTATTCCACCTAAACCATAAATAAATAGGTACTTTTGAAACGTCAAAATAGAACAGTAGTATGTCAGTCAGTTCGTCAGTAAAGCTAGGTGCTCGTTCCAAATTGTAGTTTCGAATGGAGAAGAATGAGCAAGAAACTCCATCGTTACTCTTTTTAAAATATGTAGGTATATCAGTCTATACGTGTCAATTGCGGAAGAAAGAGTTCTTTTGGATTGATTTATTTCTGATGGAGGTTTGGAGAAGAATCACCAAGTTTGCTTAAGGTGGCTTATTGCTGGTTGTAAACTTATAATTAGGAATTACAAGCCATTACCATTTTTTCTTCACTGTTTTTTAGTGTAGTGTAAATAGTCTGAAAGTACTTGTGTATTACTCAGAATAAGTAGTTAATAGGTACTGAATACTTTGAATATAAGAGACAAACTTTGAAAGATACAGGAAACTTCAACATGTGTCACTTTACTTCATTCTTACTGCTTACAGAAACAATGACCTTATTTTGTTTTAGTTATAAATGATTATGACCACAAACAATTAAAATGAAACAATACTCTTTTATCTATACGTAATATAATTGTAAAAATAAATAAAATTTCCATCAACCCTTCACATACGAAGAGAAAGCACCTAAGATGGATGCGCCGATAAAGCAACATGAAAAATTAACTTTTCGAATACATTAATCTGGCAACAGTACTAAGAATACAAGTAACACCAATAATTTACATGCTACCGGTACTGAACTGTATTTTTTTATCCTATACCCAAAGTACCCCGTGGCGTAAGCCGAAATCGTTTCGAATCGAAATAACTGCTGTAATCGAATGCTTCAACAATCGATTTAATTAGAATTATCGGTACTTTTTAAGTACAGTTGTGAACAAAGGTGTTTGATTTGTTGACGTTGTTTTGATTTATTTTTTTATTTTATTTCTCATAAAGTGCTTTGAAGATATTAGCTTTAATCCATATTGAAATATCTAGTATTTCTTTTATGGAAAAAAATATAAATAATCATAATTATTACTCTAAGTTTTACACACCTATCACGTACCTGTATTATATTTTTACTGTTTATCACAAAAATAAATTTAATCTATTAAAATAAAATAAAAAATCTAACCTAAATTTGCCTTTATTATGTGGGGGGAAAATCATCAAATGACTACTTTTGACCAGGTTGAAGCGAGCGGGAGAGTCAGACTCTTACTGAATAAAAAACCCCGTTCCTTATCCTGCTTTAGGCTACAACCAAGACAACCTAGACTGAGTAATCAAATAATCCTAACAATATAATTGCTTTAATACAATTTTCACTACAAGGCTAGAAATATTACCGATTTACATTTAGTATTTGGAAAATATGTTTTGTCATATAAGGAAATGGAGCCCAAATATCTTGGCACCGAGCGAACTTTGGTCATAATTTTACACATGTAAATACAGCCATATAATATAGGAAACATGTGAAAGGTTGACAACATTTCACGATTGTTATGTCAAACGTTTTCCATGTAATTTGAAAGCGTGCTATGTGTAAATTTTGTGTATTTCTTGTGTGTTTGTGGTTTTAGGTAACTGTATGTAAAAGGCTACTTCTTTATCAGGGATTTTGTAGTTAGATGGCCAGTTTTGTTCGTTCATTTTAATGTTAACTTGGATTCCAAGTGTTTGCTTCAGATAATTTATCAATTATCTTCCCCCGGCCTAGATGGCGGCGGCAGTGGTGGAGAGAGAGAGAGAGAGTGTCAAACCCTTATTAGCTAAAAACCACCCTGTTCTCTTTTACTATGGTGTGTGAGCGTCGGTGTTTCTTTTCGAAATCTATTTAATAGTTGTTACGTAAAAAAGTGACACAATTCACCAAGAGCCACAAACATCTATCTGTCTATCCATCCTTACTTACAAATCTTCGCGTTTATAGATATGATATAGAAGTTTCACTAAATAAATTTGCTTAAACATGATTCCCAATTCAAACGTATATCCACGTCATAATACATATGATTGCTACGATTTTTGCATCGGTCTCAATGAATTGCACGGTTGGCGCGGTGGCTGGGCAACTGGCTGCCGCGCAACGTGTCGCGGTTTGATTCCCGCACGGAACAACTCTTTTTGTGATCTACAGATTGTTGTTAGGGGTCTGGGTGTCATGTGCATGTGACATTGTATGTTTGTAAACGCATCCACGACACAGGAGAAAATCCTAATGTGGGGCAACGTTTTTTTTAAAAAAAAATCTTAAAAAAACAATCAAAATTACATACTTAACCTAAAAACGCAAGGGCGGTAAGGGTTTATGTGCAAAATTTAAGAAAACGCCATTCCATACTTTAAGCACTTTAAACATTATCTGAATAGAGGATATTAATATTATATGATTATTAACCCAAAAACGCTTGTGTCGACATCTGTACTGTACGCGCGGCATACTATATGCGTCGTCGATCCCTTAAAGACACGACAGTACAAATAAAACATATGCACAACCCCTACTGAGTTTTATATCTCGTCGATACTGTATAATTTTATATGCAGTATCCATAATTTACGCATTGATGTATGCATATACATACCATAGTAGCGAGAAGAGGATTTTTTCAAAAGATTTATGAGTCCAATTAAGATTTCGTATTGTGTATTGGTTTTAGGGTTATTTTCTTTGTTTTGTATTCGGTTATTAGGGGACAGATTTAATTAGGTATTTTAGTTAGAAATATTAAGGATAAATCGTCAGTATAATATATGTTTTTTGATCGTCAATTGTACATTTAAAAAAGAAAGTTTCTCTAGTAGTATAATATCCTTGTGACTTTACAATGTGGTTTATTATAAACGACTACTAACCAATTACTAATATAGTCATTAGTAAAAGGTATATGTGTATTCAATGTCACTTTTAACATATATTAAATAGATTTTTTTTGGTTGAACTTTTAAATTCAGAATTCGTAAAATCTGATGTTTAATTTTATTTGTAAGTATACGCATATTTCTTTGAATTACAAAACAACATACAAAAATAAACAGATCCTTTTAAAATAAATGAGAAAAGCCCACATTAATTAAACATAGAAAGCATATCAAGTTACAAACTTAACCTTCCTATTAAAATTATCTCACAACTTAACCTGTACTAGATTACTCGAAAGCACATCTAAACTACATCGATTACATCAAAATCGAATGCGGTATCGATTCCAGAGAATCGAGAACACAGCAGACGGCACATATATTAATACGTTGTACTCTGCAATAAAATTAGCTGACAGCGTTAAATAAGTGCCGGGAAAGGCATTTATAAGTAATCGATATCGGTATGCAACCGATTCTTAGATTCGATTTATTAAATTTTGCATCAGGTGTTGGGTTTAAAATGAGAATAGATTCGTTGTTTGTAGGTTTATAATGTAAAGCTTTTGTTTTTCTATTGTTCTGGCGCCATGTTGGATTTGTTGAATTTGTGTTAAATGTATTTTGTCTGTGACAGTGTCACTGTCTGAATGACTTCAAGGCTTTGTAAGGGTATTTTTATTCTTTCTAGATTACAAAGATCAAAGATGTCAGATTCCGTTGCCATATCATTTACAGCAGTCATTAGAGACGGTCAGTCAACTTTCAGAGGAAGAAACTTTTACTTTGAAATCTTTTTTATGTTAGCAAAGCTTTATATAATAACATAAAACTTGGTAACGTAATAACACTTCGCACAATTTCCGAAAACCCGAGCAACTTCTAACAAAACCAATCTCCACCTAATTATTGGAGGGAACCCTATTTCATTGTAGTGTGCATATGATTTCAAAGGTTGGTGAGACTTTAACATTTTAATAATTTTTTTTTGCGTAGGAATTTCTTACGATGATATTTAATTCATTTTTATCTTAATGACCTCTTGTGCCTTCAATCTATAATATCAATTTATTATGTAAACAAATGCTGATAATATGTATATAATTCGTAAAAATACATGTAGTTTTCTTTGGACGTTTAGATAGCACAGCACAATCACGATTCAAACTCCAACAAACAAATATTCTTTGCTTAGTCTAATAGAAACTTGTATCGTGAAGTCTTAATTATTAGATGCATAAAGAACTCCAGACCAATCCACATTTTTCCAACAGCACACATCAAACATAATCTTCGTAAAACTATGTAGCATAACTCACAAAGAGGACAACCTTCTCCAATCTGTAAATTGGACTTCCGACCTTACATAAAAATAATAAAGTTGAAAATCTTAATAAGCCAAGCTCCACTTACCTTGGAAGTAACTCTTGGTGCGCAGGTAGCTGACAGACAGTCGCAGGATGGAGAGCCTGTCCAGTTTGCTGAGGATATTCTGCTCGAAGGGTAGGAGTGAGGCCAGGGTGTCCAGCTCCGCGTTGAGCCGTTCCCTGTGTCTCTTACTCGGGTTGCTCTTTGTGACGCCGTCTTTTGATGGGGGTTTGATGCTGGAAAGAGTTTGGGAGGTTAATCGATCGGTCAAACTTGTTTTGAGTTACAAAACTGTCATAGTATGAAATAAATTATATTGACAGTTTGTATTTAATAGTCTGTCGATAAAGGTTAAACCAAAATATAATAAATAAGATGACATTAAAACTCTTATCACCTATGGAAGATTTTTTGTTGCGGAACCTGAGAGATTAGTACGACAACTTTTCTTTTTACACAATACGTACTATTAGTAGCTTATTATAATTACTTAGTTACTAAGTTACTATAATTTCTTTGTTGATTGTTGTGTATGTGTATAACTTGATGTATTGACGTAAGCTGTTAAAATATATATGTTTTTGTAAATAACTAAATAACTTACAGGAAATTCAGAGATTTATAAAATGTTGTAGAGATAAAACTAACAAAAAAGTTAAAAATCATCAACATAGTTATTTTTGGACAACAGTTAAATAAAGTAAGTAAATAACCTTTTACGAAAATAGCGCAGTAAACTAAGCAAGGGTTAACCAACCTTTGTAAGTAATTGAAAATAAAACATGTTACTGTTACTTATGGGTACTACAGCTAATGTGATAGGCTTGTCCCGTACAATATTGGACTTAATGCTGTCATTACATTACCTATTATTGATATTGATATCTCTAGGGAGACAGAGGTCAAAGGCAATGTACCTAATATTACGTAAACTGTTTTAAAAGAAATTTTTCCATTCTAGAAATTTCCAGAAGTACTTTTTTTATGGTCGATAGGCAAGGTGAATTATCATCTGTTGCTAAGCAATAGCCGCTCATGAACACCCGTGATATTGTAGAGTTATAAATGCGTTACCGAGATTTTGGAGGTCAATGGATGAAATGATAACGCCTAAAAAACAGAGCCGAGTTGACCAGTTAGATACCACGGCCTCACGTAGTACCAGTGTGACCTATCCCTATCCTTAAATCTTTAATGATCTAGAAAAGGTCGGTGACGAACTTCTAACTCCTTTGGTATCACGAGTATTCATGGTTGGCTTACTATCAAATCATACTCCTGTCAGTTTGCTGGTCTATCGAATGAAGTAAAAATGGTTGCTAAGTTGCAAACTCATATTTAGTTTTTACAACGTAATACTCTGCGTTTTTCTTAATCGTAGTATAAATATTGCATTTTTCAAGATTTTATTTTATTTTTTATTTTTATTTTATTTTTTATTAACCGACATTCCAACTTCTGTAGCTTTGGTAAACCGAGATGTATAGAAACAACGATATTATAAGTAAAATGGTATAAATAGGTTACATTAAACAACATTCGATTTTCAAAAACGGCACACTTATGCACACATGAATAAACCGTATAAAACACGTTAAAGTGGAATGGTATAATTCAATAATCGCGAGTGAAAAAGAGACAAATATGAAAAAGTGTGGCTAGTTAGCCACATTTTAATGCATTACTGGCTGAGCGCTTGTAACCTATTTTGACGGAAAAGTGGTTCATACTCTTTGACATCATGACGTCAATGGATGGTTGTCAAACGTTGCCTAGAGATTGTAAATTTCATCGTTAATTGTCAACACGAGTTGGTGTAATCGGTAAGGCGTGTGGATTACACCACAGAGACCCCGAGTTCGAGTCCCGCCGTAAACTGAAGTTTTTTAGTTGATGGAAGTTTTGTCGAACTTTCTGGAATTATTTGTGTGAAAGAAATGAAAAATTAAAGAGCAAGCTTGGAGAATAAATAAAAATGAATAACGAAATTATTGGAAGGTTCTGGAGGCATGACGATTAAAAAGAATAACGAAATTGAATGTTCCAGAACCTGACCGGGGGTATATAAGCGGAACTGCGGCTTACCGCTGGCAGTTGAGTTCTAAGTCCAAAGCGATTCGGAAAAAAAGGAAGAAGTGAAAAAGAAGAAAAGTGAGTGAAATAGTGAAGTGCAGTGAGTTAAGTGAAAGTCAGCGTGAACTGTGAGCGGCAAACGGAAGTTTGTGTCAGTCGCCCGGACTCTGCTGGAGAGGAACGCCGAAAACTTAACTCGGTGGACACTGTCATTTAAGTGCAATAGAAAGTCTGAAAACCGGTATTAGTGTTTAATTTTATCCAATCCCGTAACCCAAGCCCGCATAGTCAGGAACGTGACGTCAGGCACGTAACACTATCTACACCTTTTACTTATAATATCATTGTATAGAAATAAAATGCGAAACATTTGAGAAAATATGCATTTTATTGAAAAAATATTATTTATTCAAATGTGCTTAGTTAATAAAATACCAATTGATATCAGACTAAATTAAATAAACTTCTTTATAATAGGTACATTCCTTTGAGTTATTAAGTTTTCATTCTTCTTTTTACAATTATTAATTTCTGAACTAACATGCAATAGTAGCTTGTAGCTTTTAGCATATCAACCTTTTTATTCCCTTTCGACTATTTATTGCGGCTAAAAATATGCTTTATGCCAAGCTGTAGTATAAAAAATAATAATTTATTACTTTGTTACATTACACTGAACTTTTTTAACACTAATTCATCGAAATCAAATTTTAAAACTAAGAATTAAAAAACTAAGCCCGAATAAAACTAAGCTCAAAAATTATCCGGAGTAATTGACGCACCACAGCCACCCTACACTAGGCGCTCATAACACCATTTTATTTTGGATCATTCATTTCTAAGAGGCTATTTAAAATGACACATCACATTACGGGGCTGTGTAACGGTAGCATTCGGCCAGGCCAGGCTAACGAGCCTCGGGTCACGCAAACCAACTTGTTAGCATAACTTATGCCGACGGATAAGGGGTGAGCTTGTTGCATTATTGTGCTTAGTTTTTTAGTGAAATTGTGCTTACTTTTTTACTTTAGTTTGGCGTTAGCGGCGGCTTTCTGTTACGTTTGAGGTTTTGTTTAATTGTGTTTAAATTGTTTAGTTTTTGTTTTAGACGAACAAAGGAATTGTGTAGTGTTTTTGATTTGAATACAACAAATGATGTAAAAGTTACATTGTACAATGTGAGGTTTTTTGTTCTTACTTCAAATACAATTTGTTTTTTTTATTTTCATGTCTGTCAGAAGCAACTAACATCTCTCCACAACTAGGAATAGGTACTTCTATTCCGTGGGTACTAATAATTTGTTCAACAAAATTAATTTAAGAACATTTATGTTTTTTTTTTATATATCATCTTCAGTAGGTAGTGTCCCCTACTTAATGTATTAACGATTCGTGTACGTAACACGACAGGATTGGCAGTTTATAAATTGAACTTTACATGTATAGATTTAAATGTTATTTTGTTACGCATGAAGTGAGTGACCTGGATTGTAAATATACGTGGTGTCTATGTGTTTTACTCGACAGTTAATATCTTTAAATGTCTATCGATGTGTTAGGTTGGTAGGTAAAATTATTGAATATCTTCTTCCGCCATACGTAAGGTGAAATTTTTACTGCTGAAAACCTTCGTATTTCTACATCTTGCTCTTTGCCAGCAAACCCGGCTGAACATCTGCCCATGTGGGCCGAATCTTTGGTTGAATGATAGCATGAAGAATTAGACTGGATTGTGTTTATATCTCAATAAACTAATGTGCATTAAATAATATAACACACCAAAAAAATTATACGTCTATTTTTTTTAAGCAGTTCCCCATATTAGGATTTTCTCCTGTGTCGTAGGTACGTTTGCAAAAACATACAATTTCACATACACATCACACTAAGACCCGCAACAATAATTTGTCGCACACACAAATAATTATTCCGTACGATGATCGAACCCACGGCACCGTGTACGGCAGGCAACTTTTGCTGATACTTATCCCGAATTGCAGTCAATGCACTAATTTGCCGCATTGACTGTCATTTCAACATTCTATTACATGTTTTATGCTGGGAGCACAACGAAAACAAAAAGGTTTTACTATGATGTTACAAAGCATGGCCTTAATAACTGGCACAAAGAAAAAGACTTCAAGATGAAAAATGTCGAAGTAAGTTATATTATCTGCGTACTAACTTAGGTACCTACGTATTACATTTTCTTTGAAGCGACTCATTATACCATTAAATACTAGGGCTTATTGCTACTTACACTATTTACTGGGAAAGAATTTTTACTAACGTATGTAACTTCTTGTGTGTTATTCGAATTAAAGTTTTATTGACCGGCAATTTTAAGTTTATTATTGATTGGCTTGATTTGATTTGGATCATCTTTAACTATCAAAACTTAGTCGGTTAATTATTTGTTACTATTTATATCGCCCCTTACTCTTCTTCTATGGAAACAAAGATTAAAGAAGAAACGAGGAAAAAGCAATTATACTGTATTGTAAAAAAGTCGAGTTTTGTAATGGCCACCGAAAAAAATGTGTTTTTCGTAGTAACTGAAGATCTATATTTGTATGGAATAGGCGGCACACGAGCCTATAGATCTAATAATGAAAGCGATCAGCGATCAGAAGTACGTATCGGTTGGGAAATACTCCAGCTCCAGCTCCAGCATACAAAATTTCCGTGAAAATACACAATTTTTGAACATCGTATAAAAAGAAAAATAAAATATTAAAATTAAGTATAATGAAACTGGATTTATGTGAAATTAATAATATTGATTTTAATGAATACAATCAACACTGATTCTAATAATAAATTGTTATTTTTTTTAATTACCATATTGTTTAAAAGTAGTATGTTATATTTTGTAGTTTTGTTTGTTTTTCTCTATAATTTGTTTATGAGACTCGTTCGTATTGCGTTAATTTAAATTAGATATAGAACAGAGGCGGTGGAGTCGAATTTACTTCAAGTTTCTTTTTATAATTTTATAATTGTTATTAAATTAGTTTGAAAAGTAAATTAAATGATTTGGCGTGGAACTAGTGAACTCTCTTAAGATACAACGTCCACATTTTCATTAACAAATTATTTTATTGTATCAATAGCTATTGGATTAAGGAAACAAAATTTTATTTATTGCTTTTACCTCAACATATTTAGGTGGGGTTTCGGGTTCAAAGGGTAATAATATAACGTGTTTCCAGCCTAGAGTGGAAGGACCGGGTAGTTTTAGTCAATAAATGTCTGACACTTCTTTTTACCCTACCCAGGTTGAGAAAAAATATTTGATTCTTTTCACCCTTCTAAAAAAATCTTGTTAATATTTTCATATAATTATATAACTATTTTAGATAAATTTAACACACTCCAAACAACTCCATTCGTTTCCCAGTCCAATACAGATTATAAATAGTACATTAGTCATCGCCGCCCGTCGTTTTTGTTGATTTATTCAAACGTTAGTAACAGCGGCGCACGCGCAACCCTTTGATATTACTACCATACAATTTGTATTCATACAACGCTAAAATGCCATTAAAATTATAACTTTAATCCCAAAAACATAGAGTTGGTTTTTATACGCAGTTTGAAAGTGCAAGTGCCGTATAAATCAACACCGATTATTTCTATAAATCGTAACTCGATTAAGTTATAATCGATTGGCGATTTTGATAGGTATCGTTATAATCGAGAGATATTTATTTTTGTAATGTTATTTCCTTTTTATGTAGCATTCTTGTTATTTGTGTTGACAAATTATTATAACGATGTTTTGGTGGGAAAGTTTGGTTGGGGACGTTTTTGGATAGTGTTCTGAACATCCAGGTTTAGAGTTTGACACCTGATTATGGTCATACAGGCACACCATCCGCCTATAAGTGCCCAGTGCTGAGCAAAGGCCTCTTCTCACAGGAGAAGGTTTGAACATTCATCATGACCTTGGTCAAGGCGATTTTAAACTTTATAACTAGAAATTTTAAGTCCAGTTTTCCTCATGATGCTTTCCCACACCGTGTATAAGTGGTGTCTAAATGCCTCATTCGTAAAATATCAACCAATCCTTCATTTGAAACTAATAATAAATGTATTATAATACAACTTTTCAAAGCGCCATCAGTTGCTAGATTTCTCAAGTTCAATAATAGGACTAAGATACTTTTTAATAACAATTCCCAAAATATTAATTTCCTGTCTTTTGAGAAAAAACACGGCCCATAACAAAAGTGTATTTTTGACAGAACAGTTATGTTAAATTTGACGGACCATGGGAACTATAGAATTATAGGAAACACGACTTATTAGACATAACATGACGAATATATAATTGATATAAACTTTTATATCAAAATCGAAAACGGACAAGTGATTAAAGATTTCATTGCGAAATCATGGGCGTAGCATAGACAATGGATTTACTTATACAATTAAAAGTAAGCAACAAAAAAGTTTTTATACGAAAGAAAAAAAATTAAAAATTATTTTTATCATTTTTATGTTTAGCTATAAGTAATTTCGTTATATTAATTGCTTCTACTTTGTACGGTTGGTGATTTTCGTTAAATTATGAATTAAATTAATTTGCTTCGCTATTAGTATTTTTCGATGTAGGTACGGTGAAAATTTTATAATCCGCGTAAACAAGGAGTTTTTAGTTCTCACATTTATGTAGGTATATATTGATAATTATTTTTTCGTCAAGGTTCAGAGTTCAAAAATTGTTGACGGTAAACAGTTTTCGATTTTCATGCGTATTTTTTGGAAATGGAAGTTTCTAGTTAGTCTCCATGTTTACTTGTTACATAGGTCTGTATAACTAAGAGTATTTTTTATCATAAACAGTTTAGCAATGAAGCAAAAGAATGAAGCAATGAAAAAAAAAAGAAAATCCATAATGAAAAAATCTATGTTATGGGGTCATCCATATGGATCTTTCACTTCTAAGGGGTCTTTCTGCTTTAAGTATAGTATCCTAAGTAGGTTATGGTTAATAGGTTTCACTCTGAGAGCATTAGTATACTAGGATTGAATTGGATACGAACGATCTCAGTGTACTACTTATTTGAATTTAGAATCCAAATTCTCTCCAATAGATATGCATATTAGCATAGCATAATAGCGTTTTTCTGCTACGCACACAGCCAAATGCGTCATCATTCAAAATTAAATATATAATATTTTAAACTTACATTTTTATTTCAAAAATAGAAATAGTTATAATTTTAAAAAGATTTTAAAACTGCCAGTGTGATTCCAAACTGCATATAAATAGGTAACTATCAAGCGATCATTAGCCCAAGCGTTTGGAATTATACTTAAACATGTGAAATCATTTCTTATACTTTTGTTTCAAACGTTTTAGAACAATTTGGTTTTATAATGGTATTGAAGCAATTTGGGATTCCAGTTTCCAGTGTTTCGCTTCTGTTTCTCGGAAAAGAAATGAAGTTGAAGTAATTTTGGTAAATTAGGTTTTGTTCTTGCTTGATGATGTCAATCTTAACTTAGTTTTAAAGAGGAAAGATTTAATTGTTTGTTAGTATATATATAGTATATATCAAACACGACACACAATTAGGTACTTGATCAATTGTAAAAATAATGTAACCATTTGGCAACTATACTGTCCCTGGTGAACATAGGCGAAACTACGCGGGCTACTCGCAACCGCGGGGCACCGTTAGTGGCGGGTAATGACGTTGATTCTTTTTTTGTCTAATAACTTTCTGTTTGAGAATCTGATTGATCAATGCTTTGATTAGTAATTAATAATTAAGCCTATTGAAGATATCGTAAAGGAGCTGACGAAATTTGTACCAGTTTCAAGTTACAACTGTATTTTTATTTAAGCAGCGGGCGGTGGCTGCTGGTATCTTCTCAATTTGGTCACTTGAGCAATCAGCGCCGCCCATGGACGCCCGCAACACCAAAGGAGTTACGGGTACGTTGCCGGCCTTTTAGGGGTAAAGATTTCGGATATTTAAGGATTGGGGAGGGGGAGTGATTGGGCTTCCAGTAACCTCACTCAAATGACGAAACACAACGCTGTGCTTATTTCATGCAGGTTTTCTGTGAGGTCGTGTCATTAGTCCGGTTGAGCCGATCTATTCGTGCCGAGGCATGGCTCTCCCATACGAAATGAGTAAAGAGATCCTTAAACCCCAAACAACCTTCAAAACGCTGGCAACGGACTTGTAACTTCTTTGGCGTAACAAGTATCCATCGGCAACGCTGATTGCTAATCATCAACTGGTCCGTTGGCTCGTTTGCCAATAATATACACAATAGAAAAATTTAAGCAAAAGAAAACTTTGAAAGAAAAATAGTCCTTAAAAGAATCATGAACAAACGCCACAACTGACCCTTCAGACGGAACATCGTGTTTTCAAGTCTACCATTCGTTTACGTGACCCGCTAGTATCGTTTTCGCTTAATGCGTGACAGTTGTTCGCATGTCAGCACGTAACATGGCCACTCATTCACCTAGATGTCTCGACTGTTACCGTTTTCTTCGCCGTACACTTGCGTAATTGTTGTGACGTCACATGACATTGTGACGTCATAGCTCTTGTCTTTTAAGACAGTGACGTTTGGGGTGTGATGTTTTTACGTTTTCGTTTATATCGATGTTAAAATTGCATGGCATAAATGGCAACCCTATTTTTTTGATATTGGTCAGTGCTGGTTTAAACCATTTTGAATCTAGCATCACTGTAACTGACTTATAGACTAAATATTTATTTAAAAAGACACGTAATTAAAAAAAATGTAGTAATGGAATTTCTTGCTCTTTCTTCTCAATTCGAATTTACACTTTGGAACGAGCTCCTAGTTTCATTGACGAACTGATTGACACGCTACTATCTTCTATTTAGACGTTTCAAGCGTTCCTGTTTATGGTTCAGTTGGAATAAATGATTTTGACTTTTGCCAAATGGTCTTAGTAGTTTAACTACACGGTAGACGCAGTTGCTCAGCGATCGAATGCCGTGCTAAGCAACGATTTTATAGGTTATGTTGGCAAGCATACTATAGCGGTCAAAACATGCAATGTTAAACGTAGGAAACAGCACATTTTGCGCGATCTAGTAGCAAATTCAAGGATACATGTGTCTCTTTATTGACATATGTGACTTATTCAACTGTACATAAAGACTATATTTCAATAGCATAACCCAATAAACTTATAATCAAACAAAATTGATACTTCGCCTTCTCCGAATAAGACACAAGATTGATTACAATTATATATGTAGCCTTACACATTCTTTTGTATCACTCACACTCGATATATGTTTATATTAATCTAATTTTAATGGCATATATTATTAAATAAGTATACTGTACTGACGAAATGTGGACACCCATGATTTTGTTTGGAATGCGTCATCTAAATAGAATAGTTCGTTATTTGTATCTGTTTGTCAATGATTAATTCAGAATAATTTCACTTGTATCAGATGGTCAGATCTGATATGTTTTGTTTACATTGATTAAGGGCTGATTTTTTGATAGTCAGATAAATGTTATCTTACTATCAAAAATTGTTTCTGTCACTGTCTTATACAAATATTCTGACGCAACAGTATCATAATTATTCCACAGATAACTTTTATCTAACCAATGAAAAATTAGTCTGTAGTCTATAAATCCTATAGATCGCAAAGTTAGTGCTTATGCAAAAATTCTGAACTTAATTTCAAACTAATTAATTATACTGTTTTGGACATAAGATATAAGGTCGCAAGTTGTGCTTACGATCATTAAAACAAGGGACAAAAGATAAAAAATGACTCCACATATTATAAGTAAGGAAATTTAACAAGGTGATGACCTACCTCTAAAACAAATTAAACCAAAAACACACATAATTATTTAACAAAATACGCAATTATATGATTAACCCCTGTCGACAAGCAGCTGAAAACGTTAACTACAATTTGTCATCCGTTAAATTTTGACAGCTGTCAAATTTTAAAAATGGAGTCTGCGCGAGCGCAGCCGCGTTGAAGCCTAGTTTAGAACAAATAACAATAAAATAATATAATAATATATTAGTTACGTCACATCCATGTTTACAAATGTCGAGTGATGTGGCCTATAATTATAAATATATTAGAAAGGTCGATGGACGGGTTAAGGCCGGCTGTGCCTTT